GTGGTTCTATTTACAGACCGTAGATCCCTATCTGTAGAAATCTGGCTGAAATATTTGGTCTCTAAAGTTGATCGAGAGAGCCATTTATGGTCTATGGTTCTATCTACAGACCGTAAACAGTGTTCGTAAAAATCAGAGAACAATCGAGTTTCAGGACTTCAACTCATGAGCCTATCTATCGCCTGTAAAAGGTTTTACGACTCGTAAAACTCAGGCTAAATGTCAAGCTGTTTCAGTACTTTGATTTACGGACCAATCTACTACTTGCAAATGTGTTTACGCCCCTTAGACTAGACTCGTAAAACTCAAACCTGAAATTCCAATCTATGAAGTTTGATCTACGGATCCAATCTACGGTCTGTAGTTCCTTTTACAGCCCTTAGATGGCATTCGTAAAACTTTGAATTTTCTGTGGACTTCCATTTTTACTTCTCATGTCTGATCTAAACTTAAAAACCTCTGAGATGTGGTTACACCTACATACTCGCTCGAGCACAATTTAGAGCTGAGAAATTTATCGTGACTAAAGATCCTAACTTGGCTTTGTATGCAGTGGCATGGCCACATAGAGTGAAAGTGGTCAGTTGATCACCCTTCATAAAAAAATTACACGGATTATGTAGAAAACTATATGGTGTATATACGTAAAAAAATACTTTTTATATTTTGTATATAGATCAAAACATCACGTTGATTACTCTCGACGAAATTATTGGCTTTGCCGCTGTTTGTACATTGATCTTACCTGCAAAAACAGATTGAAATGAAGTACCATTTCTATTCTCATTGAAGTATCTTCAACTGCTGATAACATCCTTTGAAGAAGCCTAAGATTAAACCTTTTCCTTTCACATTACTGTTTCGAACTGTAGCAACCACCAGAGATGAGACATAAATTCTACCCTGCTTCTGCTACATTTGAAAATGTATAGCATAGCCATCCCTCGACTGCAGTTAGTCTTTTGAATCCCTTAGTAGTTGTTTAAAAGGGCATTAGAATGCATAGAGTTCTTCTGTTGACTTGATATATGTTGCATAAGTGGCAATGAGATTTATAGAAATAGCAAGTCGAATAGTATGGACGACATGGATTAGGGTAGAGGTATAGTTAGATAGTTGAGAGTTGTCTCGCTTATTCTTCTATACTGGTAGTCGTATTATTACTATTGGAGTTTCTTGGTATTCCACTTTTGTTACTATTTAATGTTTCTTGCACTTCGATTATCGTAATATTTTGTTGTAGTTACTAATTCTTTTTTAGTATGTTCTGCCATGCCTTCTTAAGTATTTTGTCTTGGCTTCTTCATTCCTATTGTTTTCTTTTTTCAAACTGCTTTGTAATGCTTTTACTTGAGCCAAAGGTCTATCGGAAATATCCTCTCTACCTCCCCACTTGTGGGATTAAACTAGGTATGTTGTTGTTCATGTCGAATAGTAGACAACTGTACCTTAACATTACTGTTTTTGCTGTCATTTGAGGAACAACAAGAATATCCTTTTTCTGTTATCTAATCTTACTTTGATAAATCACAATAATTTAGGTACAGGTAAACGAGAATTTGGTTAAGGAAAGCCATTCTGTGGCTTCCTGAAATTTGTATGTTTTTATATCATACCGAAACCTAGGACTGTCTGTTGTATACCATTTCTGTTGTACTTATAGAACACAGAGTCAGAAATTGTTTTTAACATGAGAAACTTGGTACGACAAGTTCATTAACATGGTTTAAGCTCGTGACGTGCGCTTAGCTTACACATGCTGTGCTGTACTCTTACCACTAGACCAAATATCTACGCGAGCATAACAGTGGACACAATGATCTGTCACCAAAATTGCAATTTAGTCTTTTTATGCCTTATAGTGGCAAGCTCCACTTTATGCCTACTATACAATATACACTTTTCTCATATCTATTCTTTCTATGTACCATTCAACTATTGTCTAATTTATCCCTTTTCTTTTCAGCTATGATTGCACAAATAGCAGTAGCAACTACAGTTTGAATGCTCAGATTGGCATATTTGTCATTATTTAAGCCTCCAACTCCAAAAGATTGTGGCTCACCAGATGGTCTTCCGGTGACTTCGCCAAGGGTCCAACTCAGTGATGGGAGATATTTAGCCTACAAACAGGGTGGTGTTGCCAAGGAGAAGGCAAAGCACAACGTCATTATTGTTCATGACTTCGATAGTTCCAAAGACTTGATGTTACCAATATCCGAAGTATGAAAACTTTTATAACTCCATATTCAGCGTATTCAATTTAGTAGCTATTATGTATGTTGTGTCCAAGTTCGCTTGCACCTGCAATGCGGTTGAAACTCAGGAAAATCTTGCTGAGTCCAATCTTTAACGTTGGACTCATAATTTTTTTTCTGATTTTCAACCATATTGCAGGTACAATCGAACTTGGAGATAACATATATACATAACAGATACTAAACTGAATACGCTAAATATGGAGTTTTAAAAGTTTTCATGCTTGGGATATCGGCAATATCAAGTCTTTGGAACTATCAAAGCCATGAACAATAATGATCTTGTGCTTTGCCTTCTCCTTGGCAACGCCACCCTCTTGGTAGGCTACATATCTCCCATCACTGAGTTGGACCCTTGGCGAAGTCACCGGAGGACCACCTGGTGAGCCACAAACATTTGGAGGGGGAGGCTTAAGTAATGCCAAATAAGCCCATCCGAGCATTCCAAGATCATGATATTGAATCCAAGGGAGCTTCTCTTCTAGATACGATTGAGTTCGCGTGCAATAATTTTGTCATAGTGTCCTTGCCAAAGCTGGACCGAACCTTCGTTATCTGGAAAAAGGAATATTTATATCCGTCGGAGCAAAGTCCCAATTTCCAAACCAACTATCAAGTCCTAATGCAAACATTGCATTCAAACTCGCCTTGATGTCGTACCTTCTCCTGGACAGACATAGTTCCAGAATAATGACAATCATAATGGTAAGCAAACACTAGCTATGTTAGTGCAGCATTAGATGTCTTTGAGGGTGAAAAAATTACACTATATGTACAAGGTAAAAATAGAGGTAATATAGGTACCTAAATATTAATCCGAATTGACATGTATCTCAATAACAATGAACAAGAATTGACGAAATAATTCCACTGATTACTATGAAAATAGGAAACTTATAGTTCTCATTCACAAACCCATCTTTGTTTATGCTACTAACTCTCAGTTTGGTCCTACTTTTGGTTTATTTTGTTACGAAAAAGGGAGGAGGAAACTTAGTACCGACCATGTTCATTCTCTGTGTTGGGCGGCTTTCGCTATCGATAGAGGAAGTTGATATGCGAGATGGACAAAGTCGGTTTCATCTAATGCTTGCTCTCATCTTGCGAAGAATGTTTTTAGTCCTTTTCCCTATATATTTTTATGTATATAGTAGATATTGACACTTTTTTAATTCACAATGATAGTTATTGTGAAACCATCTTGAGGAAACTTTTCACTAGTTAAAAGGTTAGTCTAGAGCAACAGTAATGTTGTCTCTGCTTGACCTATAGGTCACGTCGAAGAAACCACTAATGATTGAACCAGAGTAAGTTGTCTACATCACGTCCGTTATAAGATGCGGCCCTTTCACGAACTTTGCTAACGTGGGATGCTTTGTGCACCTTGCTTCCCCTTTTGCATGTATTTGTGCACAAGATGGTAACTTGCAAGAAACTTAAGTGCATCAATATTTGTAATAAATACTAGATTTGCGAACTCGTGCCAGTACAGACTCAATATATGTTACTCTCTCATTCTCAACTTAGAGATACAGATGTAATTTGGAGAATCGTCCAAATTTTTGTATGGCTTTTAAATATTTTATTTTGTTAATTATTGTGATCTATAGTATTTTTTACATAATTTTCAAATAATACATATTACTCCCTATATCCTAATTTACGTGGCATAGATAGAATTTAAAGAATCAACCAATTTTTTATTATATGTTTTTCAAATATTTCAAGTTCTTAATTATTGAGATTTATAGGGCTTTTTACATCATTTTCAAATAACCTTTATTACTTCTTTTGTCTCGGTATGTGGCACCAATAGAATTTTGAGAGTCAACCAAATTTTTTATGTCTTTTAAAATTTAAATATTTCGAATTGTTAATTATCGTGATTTGTTGATTTTTTTATATGTAATTTGCAAATATCCAAAAGGAATAAAAAAAAAAGATAAACAAATTAAAACGAAAGAAATATAAAAATTACATAAATGACCTTGGCTAAAAGTAGGCATGTTGACGAAGAAGGGTCTGTTCCTAGACTTCTCTATATAGTAGTAATGAGGTGAAAATTTACTATTTATCTACTCTTTCAACCAAGGTTCTCTTTGTTTTTTTTCCAGAATGCATTGGCCGAATGAATCGAAGTTTCATGCTCAATTTTGAATTAGAAACATTAAAAATAATAAATTGACGTCGATTATAGTACATTGCAACATACAATCCAGTAATAGTTTTCTTAAAAATCTACATTACCTTATGGGAGTGTCACACTGATACTGTGACACAAGCATATGAATCATGAATTGACTAATATGAATATTCATGTTATTTATAAACTTGCAAAAATGTATGAGAAATTATAGAGTTAATTTTCTCCAATATAGAGATACTCTATATTTGAAGATTAAAATAGAGAATTTGGGGTTTTTTTTTCCGGAAAAACACTTTATTGCATTACTTTAAAATATGTTTCAGATGTCCATAAGACATCATTTCATCAGTCAACACAACATGGGAAGGCAAAATCCCAAGAAATTATATTTATACATGAAATAGAAAATTTAGCTAGATTATGAGCTAACATATTCCATGTTTGAGGAATATATATAATCTTGATTTCTTCGAAAGACTTCATCAATCGCCAGACATCATCGCAAATGGTCTCTATTTCCCAAGATGACATCAAATTCTTTTGCAACATTTGTATAACACTTTTTGAAATTGACAATATGTGAACCTTTGACCAACCTTTTAAAAGTGCTCTTTCCACAGCTTTCTCAATTGCTAGTGCTTCAGCAGTTATGACCTTCCCTACAAATTTAATAAGGGTACCAAAGACATGAAGCAAATGACCACAGCTATCCATAGTCGCCATTCCAATGCTTACCTTTTCTTTCTCCCTTTGTAGACCTGCATCTGTGAAAAAAACAACTGATCTTAGGCGTATTTATATGCCTAGAAATCTAATAATGCCCATATTTAAGCTAAAGTTTGAATTCAATGTGTGTTTGTTTATAGTCTTATCGAGTCTTTTGGTTGTATAGGAGCTAACCAACATGATTAGTTGTCTAGGTGAGCTTAAAAGGAGAAACGAGCACTATAATGGACATTGGGGAACACCAAAGATCCGAGTCGAAAAGAAGCAAGGAAGAAAAAGGATGAGAAGAATTCCAAGGCATAGCCGTATCCTCTCCGCGTCGCGGAGAGGGATTTTAATTTTGGTTCGCGAGATTCGAATTGAGGCAGAGTGGTCCGTGTCAAGACCGCGTCGCGGAGAAGAGAAGATTATTAGAGTGAAATCTGAGAAGCACTCCGTGTCGCGCCCCTGAGTGCCAAATTTGGCCATTTCGAATTTTTAGTATAAATAGTTTAATATTTTATTAAAACATTCTTTTTTCTGGGTTTTGAAGAACGACGACTTGGAGAGGTATTGCATCATTTTTTAGGGTTCTTTCCTAAACTCTTTTACTTTTGATATTTCTATGATACTTAAACATTGTTTGATCGAATCTACTGTTATGAGTAGCTAAATACCCTAGTTCTAGGGTTGTGGCTATAGGATGATTGTAATCTATTGAATTTTTTTGTGTTAATATTGATTATCGCATGAATCTTTCTTATGTTCTTGCCTGATCACCATTGAAATAAGCAAATTGTCCGAATTGAACTCGGGAGAGGAATAAGAGGATAGAACGTGGGGAATAATGAGCATGATTTTCTCTTAATAACTAGGGTTAATTTGAATCTAGGATAGGGATATACCTAGAAACCATGTTTGGTCACTATACAGGAAGAAATCGTAATGCTCGGTACTTGGTCCAACCTATCCCCGCTCAAATGATGTAGTTAGGTTGTCATTTATCGTAGGTGATTAGAAGTCGGAAGATCATAATCATACATTTAACCCTGTGATCATTGATTCGATAGTTGATTAACACCCATTTAAACAATATAGTTACATGAATCCTGATAAGAGTTGCAGCCCTGGACTTTAGCAAATCATTGTTTGAAAACCTTGAAATTGAATCAATCTTGTTACATTTTGTTTAACTCTTAGAATTATAAAATAAACCATTCTTGAAATCTTGATAACACTTGTGCTAAGCTAAAAGTTTTGGATAAATTATTTGATTCTAATCGTAAGTCCCTGTGGGTACGATACCCATCTCTTTATAGAGCCACTTTAATACTTGAACGACCACGTGCACTTGAGTGTGCGATTTGGCCACAACAAGTTTTTGGCTCCACTGCCGAGGACTTTAGAATTAGGAATTATTTGATTATTTTGACTTCTGAAGTTAAAAAGCAAATGTTGACAACTTGATCTTAGCAATTCATTGTTGCAGGTTGTACTGAAATTTCAAACTGGACGACAATCAAGGATTGGTATCACCTCTAGCTGAACTAGAAAGATTCGTTCACTACTAGAGAAGGAAAAGAAGACTCACTTACCTAGTCCCTCTTGTTGCTAGTGAACCAATATCTCTAGTAGCAAGAGTTGAGCAAGAGGAACCTGCAGTGATGGCTAAGATGAAGGTAAGAGACGTGGCAATCTCACATACCACCAATGTGACATCATTCATTCAGAAACCTGCAGCTGGTGGAAGGTTTGAACTGAAGCAGAGTATGGTGCAACTATTGCACACTAATGGGCAGTTCACTGGTCTGTCAAACGAGGATCCAACAGTCCACATCCAAAACTTTCTCGAGATCAGTGATACTTACACTCCAACTGGAGTAAACGAGGATTACGTGAGGCTCACTTTATTTCCCTTTTCTCTGCTTGGGGAAGCAAAAAGATGGTTAAACTCTGAGACTGCTAACTCTATCACCTCCTGGGATGATCTTGCGCAGAAGTTCCTTATCTGATATTTCCCATCTGGTAAAACAACTAAGTTGAGGAGTGACATCCTAAGTTTCCGACAGAAAGGAGGAGAGAACTTGTACCAAGCTTAAGACAGGTTTAAATTGATGTTGATGAGTTGTCCACATCATCATCAATCTAATGAGGTGTTGGTACATACCTTCATTGAAGGATAGGAGCCTAACACCAAAATTTTACTTGATTCAGCTGCCGGTGGTCAGGCTTTGGAGAAGACTTATGTGCAGACATGTAATTTTTGACCGAACTAAAATTTTACACCATTTTTAGAGCTTAAATATTTTAAAAATATAAAAATATTTTTGACTTTTATCTTATTTTAGTAAGTTTATTTTAAAAGATTTGAAAATAACAAAAAAATATGTTTTCATTTAATTTAGATATAATAAATTAGCAAGTGTTTCTTAATTATATTTTTAGACTAGCTATTTGACTTTTTCTTATATTTTATTAATTCAAAATAATTAATTAATATTTTTTATTATTATGTTTATATATATATATATATATATTTTTTATATATATATTTAAGCTAAAAAAAATAATAACCTAAACTACCCACACTACCCCACTTCACCTTTCAACCCCACTACCCCAACTCCACTACCCACCTCACACCACAACACCCCACTATCCTAAACACATACACACTACTACAATCAGCAACCCCTACCCCCTATATATCAACACACATCCTAAATACATTAAGACACTCAGACGTACAGAAAAAAAAAACAACCATCAGCAAAGGAAAAACACACAAAACGTACAACAAAGAAAAAAGGAAAAAAAAGATAGAAAAAAGAAGACAGTTATGTCTCTAAATGTCAAGACCAAGAATGCGGTTACGCATCTAGGTCGAGACCAAATAAAAGTTCAACAAATAAACAATGCAAGCGAGAATGTGGCCTATAAAGTATATCCAAAAATATTTAAAAGTAAGTATAAGTCAATAAAAGTGACCATGCTAGAACCACGGGACTCTAGGGATGCCTAATACCTTCCCCTCGGTCAATAGAATTCCTTACCCGAATTTCTAGTTCGCAAACCAAAATAAAGAGTCATTTCCTTTTGATTAAGGATTAAAAAAAGGTGACTTGGAACACCATAACTCAATTCCAAGTGGCGACTCTGAAAATAAAACAAAATAATCTCTAATCAATATTGTCACTTAAATTGGAAAAATCCTATACGCCGGTGCGCAAAAAGGGGTGTGAGAATGCTGAACTATTCACCTTGCTGAACAGGATCTCACTGGGTAACCCCGAATCGAACGGAGAAGGGGCGAAACCTGTGATACAGAAAACTGCAAGTATGCTGGAAGTAGATGCAGTGACTGCCTTAATTGCATAGATTGATGCGATGCAAAATATGATAAACACCCACTTCAGCAATCTATCATTGGGACAACAGCCAGCTTAGGTGAATGTAGTCCAACAACCACCAACTTGGTGCGAAATTTGCGAAGGTGGTGATCATAGTGCAGAGGTATTTGGCGTAAACCCAGATTTTGTAAATTTTGTAGGGAATGCACAACGAGGAGGAGCCAGCAGAACTATGAAAATTCTTACAATCCGAGTTGGCGTAACCACTCAAACTTCTCTTGGGGTGGTTATCAAAATCAGGCCCAAGGCAAAAATCAGTATAGACCCCAGGGAAATGCACAAGGGTGTCAACCACAGGTCCAACGGGAGCAGCCAAATAAGCAGTCTAGTAACATGAGCATGGAGGAGTTTCTGAAAAAGATTATGGTTGATCAAGTCCAGTTAGCTGCTGATGTGAGAAATAATCAGTTAGCTATACAGAATCTGGAGAAACAATTCGGGCAGTTTGCTAGTGCCTAGAACTCACGACCGCAAGGAGGTTTGTCGGGAAAAACTTATCCAAATCCCAAGCAGGTAAAGGCGGTAGGTACACGCAGTGGTTTGCAATTAGAGAAGTTAGCTCCTAAGAAAAGAAATACTGAATCTGTGAGTAAAGAGAGTGAGCCTAAGGAGAGCGAAGTGGTTGCATAAGAAGAAAGAGTGCAACCAATAGTGAAACCACCTCCTCCATTCCCTCAAAATTTCAAGAAACAGAAGGAGGATGAATATTTTGGTAAGTTTCTCTCTTATTTGAAACAAGTTCACATTAACTTGCCATTGGTAGATGTTTTGCAGGGTATGCCCATGTATGCTAAATATGTAAAGGAGATTGTGGCAAACAAAAGGAGGTTGACTGAATATGAGACAATTGCACTTACTAAAGAGTGCAGCTCCCGAATCCAAAATAAGTTGCCCACTAAATTTAAAGATTCGGATAGCTTTAGGGTTCAAATCACTAGAGGGCAGAGCATTTATGCGCGAGGATTGTGTGATCTCGGAGCTAGCATAAATATGATGCCAGCTTCGTTGTATAAAAAGCTGGGGTTGAGTAGGATTAATCCTACTACCATTATCTTACAGTTGGCTGATAATCTGTTGCTAGGCCTGAGGGTGTTGTAGATGATGTCTTAGTGCAAGTGGGATCATTGATATTCCTAGTACACTTTGTTGTGTTGAATTTTGAGCTAGATCCTGAGGTCCCATTTATATTGGGAAGACCTTTCTTAGCTACTGGGCGTGCTATGATAGATGTAGCAGCTGGGCAATTCACTATGCAGGCACATGATAAAGTGGAGGTGTTTGATGTATACAAGGCACTGAAGCTACCAGCTGTATATGAAGAGTTGTCTGCGATAATTGTGATAGATCTTGAGGCAGAGGCTCGATATATTATGTCCAAGGACCCGTTAAAGCGAGTGCTGGTAGGAGATGATATCTATGGGGATGCTGAGGCGCAGGAAATAGTACAATTTCTTGATGTGGCACTTGTAGGTACATTATGAGATCGATGAGAGCCTTTAAATATGGTGTTGGGTCCTCCACCTAAGACCTCCATTGAAGAAGCACCTCAGCTAGACTTTAAAGCATTGCCAACCCACCTCAAGTATTCATTCTTGGGTGAGAATAAGA